ACCGCTCATCAAATATGAAACACTGACCTTAATAATTAAAAAATACTTACTGGTGGCAATAGTAGTCAGCTTTGAAGTAGATGAAAAGGAAAACGACAGCTATGAAAAGGTAAATCTGAGAGTGCTTACAGCGTGGGCTTCTTTTCCTTTATCTTTTTAAACTCCATACTCATTGATACTTCACAGGGATGTTACCAAAGGGAGTTGCTATAAGAATATACAAGGTGCTTCTGTTTTCTAGAACCCCAGTTGGCCTTGGCAGATGACCGCTCACACTGAGCCTGGTTCTGCTGGAGGTTTTCTTCCTGTTAAAAGAGAGTTTTTCCTCTCCACTCTCACTACAAGTATGCTTGCTGTGAGGGATTGCCTTCGAGTCAATGAGTTGATGTAATCAACTGGTTTTCCTTACATAGTGTATGATCTTGTGAACTGTAAAGTGCCTTGAGATGACATGTGTTGTGAATGGCGCTATATACATAAACTGATTTGAACTGAATTGACTTTAAACCTTTAGTTACTTTGATTCTATGATGGTAAGGCTTCCTGTTTCCCCACCACATCGACAGTGACGGCGTCCATTTATATTAATTACACTCCACCTCCACTCTGTTCTCATTTAGACACATGAAAGTCAATTAAGCCTAATCGCTGCTAAATTACACAACACTGTCTACATACTGTGGAAGTCTCATTTAAGGTTATCGCACCGAGGTCATTAAGCGTTTTGAGATAAGGGAGTCATGGAGAAGAAGACTGGAAGTGCTGAATGCAGTATCATACTCTCTAAAGGCATTGTAAGATAACAGAGAGATTCCAAAGCAGTGGGATTTTAGGCGTACTAAACAGAAGAAGTCAGCATTTGCAATGATACACCACTGACACAATGAAGTGGGAGGTAGTAGACTTAATATTTATGATAGTACTAAGTTATAGTTGATATGCTGAGAAGATTTTTAAATATGTTACTGGACCAATCTAATTTCAGATCAGGGTATTTTCAAATCAAATGCAGAAGCTTTCCTAAAAAAGAACAAAAAAACTTCAGTCCTATGTGTCTGTTTTTTGTCAGCATGTGGTATGGCCGCCTGGGATTTGGATCCCCTGACCTGGGACTGTTCTCCCTTCTGTCTACCTTTGTTCTGTCTAACAATCTCCATTTTTTTTTTTTTTTTACAGGCAGTGTTGCCAGATTAGGTAAAAATTGCTTTGGGCGGGCAGAGATAATTTGGGCTCAGAGTCATATTGTAATTTTTTGAGTTAACCTATTAAAACAGGTGTCCACCAATCATTCCTCATTACTAGTTCATAGCAAAGCCTTTCCTGACCTTTCTCAATCACTGATTGGCTAATGTCATATGCCAGGGTGCTTACAACAGAGAACTAGTGTAATAGTGCAACAAATTATGTTAGTCTTAGCAGCAGGTGGATCTGGTGTGATAAACCTAGTGCTGACGATCAATGTATTCTGGTTGGAAGAGGAATATTTTAAAGATGCTGGAGGGAATCACTGCTTTCGGGATTTAGTGATTGGTGCAATTAAACTCCTCACCCTCCCTATATCAAATGCACCATTTGAAAGAGCTTTTTTACAAGTTGCTCTGCTTGATGACTCCAGAAATCCCAGGGGTCTGCCGATCCTGTCAAGTTTGATAGGAGTGTGAATTGAGCTAACAAGGAATGGATGGACATCAGCAAGATTCCATCCTCCCCGACAGTTATTGGGGAGATTTCATTCAACCATGTACTGATCACAGATCACAATGAATTGTATTATAGTTCACTGGAGTAAAAATTAGGGTTCAGATGTTCAATATTACGATATTCCAACAATTTAATAAGCATTAAAGGTAAGAATTTAAAATCAACTATAATAAATAAATTTATGTCAAAATAATATACATGTCAAAAATAAATAAATGTTTTTGACATGTAGTGTTGAATTAAGTTGTACTGAAGTGTGTTCGTGTTCACACAGTAAATATTAATCGGGCAGGTTGTTGTGTGATGTGGCGGTTTTTAACAGACGTTTGGGCTGGAAAACCTCGACTCTATCTGGCAACACTGTTTACATGCAGGCTAAATGTCGCTACATCCATGCACAGTGTGAGGGATTGGTGAAGAGTCAACAACCAAATCCAAGTGAAAATCATTGCTGCAAGCTCATCCAGGAGGGGCCTGTTTAATAAATCCATTCACTGGACTTTGTTCTCCAAGTCTGAAGACGTTTTGCTTCCCATTCAGGAAGCTTTTTTAAATTGGAATGACTATGACCTAGTTGACTGAGAATCTTCACCAGCAACTTGTAAATTAATGACCAGATGCAATCAACTGGTTTTCTAGACAGAAACTGTTATCCAATCTGACTGTTTCTGTAAAGTATCTTGAAATGGCAAATTTAGCAAACTGGTGTTATATAAATAAACAGATTTTAATTAAAGTTCTAATTAAGCAGTTACCTGAAATATGTAATAAAACCAAAATATCCTTGAGTCGTATCCAGAGAGTAAAAATTATAGCATTAGTCTAGCAATACAGGAAGTGCTACGCATTCATTGTTGGGGAGAACAAGAGATGAGTTCATTAAATACCAACACTGTCTGTGTTGAGTTAAATAGATATTTTTGTCCCGATCAAACCAGCACATATCTCACTTGTATTTGTAGTATGCTCATTTGCTTCTCAGATTAGCCAGGCTTTAAAGATGATTTACTTACTACAACTTAAGTGTTACAGCAACACTCAAATAACATAATTATTGAATCTTACAGTACACTATCTTCTATACTGTATATTGTTTAGGATTCATTAACCTCAGCATGCTTGTTGCTTAAACGTAAATGAGCCACAATGAGGCAATGAACTCTCTGCATTTAACCCATTAACATTGATAGACTATTGTTATTTAATAATAATAATAATAATTGAGCTTGAATGATCTCATATTGGATAAATTTACCTCTGCCTTTAACCCATCCCCTTGGGGAGCAGTGAGCTGCCATTGTGTGGCGCCCGGTGAGCAGTGTGGGGTTAAGGGTTTTGCTCAGGAACCCAGAGTGGAGGATGTGGGGATCGAACTGGTTCTTGCAAACTTCTCAGAGCAAAAATATTTTGAATACACAAATACTTCTGAATATTCAGCTAAAGATTTCCTCACCACTTGGGGGCACTCATAAAACATTAAAAGTTATTTTGAAGATTCTCACTTTTTTCTATAATGTTACATAAATTAATTCTGATAGTAATGTTAGCAAAGTTAACATAACATTCCTAAACTTGGCTGAACACTGTAATTTCCACATCATTTAAGCAAATATAGATGAGCTACTTTTTACGACACAAATACTTTAAAGACCTATTTGAGTGAAAAGCCTTTCTATGTATGCTAAGTTTGAACATATGTACATGTATAGAAAGAAATAAAACAATTTCACATATCTGAAACACAAGGCTGTTTTTTGAAGTTTAGAATAAATCGCCTGCTAAAGCGTCTGGAATTTCATGTCAGAATAGTTTACTTGTAAATCATCATGCTTCTTGTGTATCAATGAATGCTTTTTTCCACAAAGATCGAGAAGAGAATTTGCAAATAAAAACAGAGAAACAAAAAACATCAAGAATCCTAACTCAAATTATGATAGAAATAACAGTGGTTTGTTTTCTTTAGATTGAATACAGCTAAATCCCTATAAAATTCACCAGCTATTCCATAATGACAGAGCAAGGAGGAATTCCATGGACAAATAAAAACTGTATATGTGTATTTGTCTGTAGTTTTGAATGCATGATAGCACGGCCAAAGGGCTTGACCCTTTTAATAATTAGTGAATGAGACATGGGGTGATTTGATATGACAGCATGGGTCAGCCTGTATCCTACAGTCATTCTGCTTTAAATTCCAGTTTTCTAAAAAAAAATCCACCTTTTTTACTACAAGTTACTGTTTTGCCAATAAGGGGAAATTTTTACTCTTTTTACTCAGGTCATAGTGTTTGGCTGGTTGGCTGATGGTGCATTTTAGGACTACTCCAAACTCAAGTCATCCAGGTACTTAGTTTGTTCATGATGAGCAAAATATAAACGAATTGGTATAATTGATGGGCATGGGTGGAACACAGAAAACTTAAAATTGTCAAGCTCATTCTACCTGAAAGGTTACCACAGTGTTAAGCCAGAAGAGCAGACAGAAAGTTAGGTCAAGAGCCATCTGTCAGGTTTATACAAATTTGAAAAGTAACTATTTCAGAAAGATGTATTTTTAAGTTTGAAAATGCCCAAAATGAGAGAAACCAATGAATGACAATGAAGTTAACTATAAGAAAGTTGTAAAACAAGAAGGTCATATGGTATCAAATGAAGTGAATCAGCTAAATATTTCATATTTTACTGTCTCCAACAGTCCTGCTGCTTAACATCTTACCATATGTTATGTATGTTATGTTTTGTAAAATTCATTTGTTAGATTACTGTTGTGTAACTATCAAAGGCTGGACTTGTTTTAAGACAATTTGTCTTTATGCCTGTAACAGCAAAAAGCAGTTGTTTTTGTATTTGGGATAAAAATTCAAATATGGAAACCATTTCAAATTATATTGTTAACAAAGAAGACTAGTGATACAACCTACAACAGGTGTCAAAAATATAGTTAATATAAATCTATATACATACATCATATGTTTGTTTGAGTTTTTTAAAGTACTCATGGTTTGTTTGTCTCTCTGTCAGCATGTAAGATTGGGTGCTTGTTTTCCAAGTGAAGGTTTTTCTATACACTTCAACATGGATCAACAGATCACATTTGCACATTTATGCAAATAAGAAAGACATATGCAAACATAATTGTATGGATGGGACTCTGTATCTATCCCTGTTACAGCCACATAGATCAATGATCATTGATATTCAGTCATTATTTAGGCAGGCTTGTCATTGGCAACAATAGACTGCATAATAGACTTGACTGCACTGTAGATCATTGGAATGCAGATGTGTGCCTCTCCTACCTGTTTATCAGTGAGGGTGTACAGGAACTGGTGATCTGGACTGAAGAGCAGATCTCTTAAGATGGGGTTCCCATCGCTCACCATCACATTCTCGTACAACAGGACAGGCTGGGCGATGGAGTTCACCAAGATCTGGAAAAGAAGGGGGAAATTCAGAAAAGCCATCGCTACAGGATAAAATAGAGCTAATGATGCATAGCTTCCTTTCTATTTAATCTTTTACATTTCAACAAGTGCATGTTACTAAGGGAGCATGAAAGAGTCATGTAACCCTCCAAGTTCCTGAGTTATCTCTCGCCCTCCATTTTGCTCACTGATCACCGGGGAGCAGTTTGATCTGTGAAGGCCTCCTCATTTTTCTGAATTGCCATCTTATCTCTCCATTTTTTTCTCACACTGACTTTAAATCGTGTTAAAATTAGTAGAAAAAAAGTACAAAATTACTTTAACATTCCATCAAACAGGTGGTTTATTAGTAGGCAAGTTGCTATTATTAAGGCTCTATCTTTTAAGAAGAATAGTTAATTTTAGTCATAAACCTAGAACTTTTACAATACTAAGGCTGCTCAATGTTAGATAAATATACTGCTTTGATACTATCATTGAATATGATGATAATGTGGTTAGAAGATGCAGCTAAGAAACACATCATCAAACTAAATACGCTTCAATGATCATAATATCGACATGTCTCTGCATGGACTTTGGGATCTTACTGACCTATATTCATATGAAGTCAACAGATGCAAAAACTTAACAAAGGGTACATTTGAGCCAACATTTTAACAAAAAGATATCTTGTGTAGCCAGATTTTGTTGTCATACTCCGAATGCATGCTCGTCCATGTAGAACAAATCCAGTAAAGCCAGACTTGATGGATTCAGCTGAGTTTCCTTAAACAAGAAACTTTTAACAGATCTGACTCAATGATTTGAGGGAATTGTCTCTGGAAAAGGCCTTGAGATTACATGCTTTGTGAATTTGGAGCCATGCAAATAAACAGAATTAAATTTAAATTAAATCTGAAAGGTGAGCATTACATAATTAATTCAAGACTTCCAGCTGTATCCTTTCTTGCCGTAACTGTACTCAGCTGCAAATAAAAAGTCTATGTATTTGAGTTGTTACTGTACAAAGGTCATTTGTTTTAGCGGCGCCCTTCTGTGTTGCTTCCACATAACGACACAAAAACACACTGAAAAGTTTTATTGACGTAAAGTGAGTGTGACCTTTTGTGCCTTTTGTTTTTATTGCTTTGATGATTTCCCTCTCTCTTTCTCTCTCTCTCACAGAAACAGCACACATATTTGGAAAGCAAAGAAAAAAAAACCTGCGCACAATATGTGGTCGTTCTCAGACTGCTACAAGCCGAGGGCTGCTGTATCATTTATGATGAGTGACGGACTGTGATAGAACGAGGGAGGGGGAGGAACAGAGAGCATGCTCTGCCCCACAGCTCGGGGCAAGGGGCATTTGGAGGGGGATTCAGGTCAGCTAGCACAGAAGGGACTATAGTACGAGGCAGGTGACTGTGAATTTTCATCTTGTCTATTAGCCTGCAGGTTCTTGCTCTCCTTCTCTGACCTCTGCACTCATGAAGCTATACAGCTCTTCTTATAGCAGGCAGCTTCAGCAAAGACAACTTCAGGAAGTCCCATCTTTACCTACTCCCTTTAGAAGACCTGGGCTATAATGTTATCTCCACATCCTAAAAGGATTTTTGCCGTTTCATATTTGGGGATATGTTTTTTATGAAATTCTTAGGAAACCACTGAATAAAATACCATCATACCAAAACACTGAAAAGGAAGGCAACTATCAACGCCATGTGACATTAAGCATGATCAACTTATCAAGTTGCTGTCATTCATTTTCATCTAGTGAAATGAATGCATGCTAAAAGAACGAACCATGGAGTATGAAAATTTTATTTAAGCTAGACATATTTTCTCTCTTTGACACTTTTATTTTGAAGGATAAAAGGAAGTAGGCATGTTGGGTTGGTAACAAAACCACTGATGACGGCTCCACTACCTATATAGTGGACTGAAAAGTTGATTGTAGGCAATCAGACGCAGAGTTTTTCTAGAAGACATTTCACTTCTCATCCAAGAGGCTTCATCGGGCTACTCGACCACTAACGCACCCCAGGTGACCCCCATGGCCCTTCTAGTAGAAGGGATCTGACCCACTTTTTGTTGTTTTGCCTGATTCTTTGCTACCCTTACAGCATATTAATCTCAGTGCTCCCCTACAGTAGTTAGAACTGAAAAAGCCTCCTGGATGCAAGGCGAGTTGGTTTCTCTCAAAGATCTGGTAATTATAGACAGTTTAAAGTAAATAACTGCTAATGCTGCAAAAGTCTACACCTGCTGCTGAAACTTTTATTCTAAATACAGAAACAAGAAGAAGTTTTTTATATTTTTTTTTATAAACAACTATAACAATATGCCGACTGCTCAACCTTGAACCAATATATTATTCACTAACTGGAGACCCCTTTAAAGTGCAGTTGTCTGAGTTGAGAAAGTTAAGTATTTTTAAGAAAATTGAAAAAGATTTTTAGAATTCAAAGCAACACTGTTTAAATTTTTAGCCACCAGGGGGCGCTTGACCTGTAATTGCCACATTTCACCCTCCTGAGGGCCATTAGTGCCAATGCACTGTTGCAAAATTAAAAAGGCTCCCTCAGTATTTTGAAATCTGATAGCAGACCACTTTGGAGCAGCAGATGGAGAAGTCATGAAACTGGCTGTAAATTTAAGACCACATTCACCCCTCATCAGAAAACCAAAAATATTTAAGATTTAACACTTCATGTACAGGTTAAATCTGTTTTTTTGTTTTTGTTTTTTTTTTTTTCGTTTGTTTTTTTGCCTAATGTAACAATAACTTTAAACTCAGTATTTAGGGGATTTCAGACTGCCGTTAAGTGGCGCTTTGGGTCACATTTCATATGAAGATGGATCCTACCCTATTAATCAGCCCATACAGAGCGTCAGTACATGCCGATTTCTGTATATTTACATGAAAAATACTATAACACACCTTAAACTGATCTAATGGCTGTATCAAGACCCATGCAGTGTTGCTTTAAACAGCTTCAGTTACTTACACAACTGAATAATCTGTAATGAGCGGGCTTCTTTCAACCAGATAACAAGCAGTGAGCTCCAACATGCAGGGGAAGAGCAGCAGTGCCCCATTCTCTAATCCATATAATTTAAAGATAAAGAAATGGTTGAGGGAGAACTATGTTAGTTTTGAAAAGTAACCTTTAAGCATTTTGGAAAACCTTGATTATCCAAACTGTCCGTAGGATAATTGGTCTGTTGAAACTTCATTAAGTTCCCCCTCACATTACAGGATTGAAATGCCATCTGCTTACAAAGAGCCGAAATGCCAAAGGAAGCAGCTTAATGAATACTATGTGTTCCTTGGGTGGTCTGTGCAAACTCAATTCAAACCCCTAAAAGGGTACTACTGAGCCATACAGATTTCTTTTAGATTTCATATTTAAGTTTCACCTTCTGAAATATATTAACCCGACTGAAAGATGAAAGCAACTCAGATAAAAAAAAAACTGACTACCTGCTTTAAATGTGCTTATTAAATATGCTTTTGTAACCGCTCCCATGATGATTATTTGCCCACGAAAAAAAGAAACATAAAGCTTACTGCTTTGAAGTCTCTGAAAGCTTATGAGTCATTAAAACACTGCCTTTTTACTGATTAGTTTACCTCTTTGAAGCGGGACAATCATACGTATTTCAGTCTCGCTCAGCAGTGCTGCTCCGATGAGTGCGCCAAACATAATTGCTGCTATTTGCATTCTAATTACCCACCAATCAATTAGTTTTACAACACAAAAAAATAAGAAAATGGTGCATTAAAGCAGTCAGTTCAAGAGATGAAGAAAAGAAGGTGCTCTTTTGAGACATCTATAATTCTATGTTCTTCTCACAACTTTGGTGTGTAAAGATTTAAGTCCCACTTGCATAGGAATTTTTTTTTTTTTTTTTTGTAAATGCATCAGTTGTTATCCACCCTCCAATTCAACTTTCTGCATGTGCAAAGAAAAGAAGAGAAAACATGTATGAGAACCAAAGTTAGAGGTATTTCTTGCTAAGTTTTGACTCTTAAAAGACTTCCTAGTTCAGTCAGCTCTCAGGTGGCCTTTCCATTGCTTCAGTTTTTCAAGGCTTGCAGAGTTAGAGGCAAAGACATGAATGTGAAAAACAGTTTCCGGGATTTTCAAAAAGATACAACCCAGTGTCCAAAGGACTTTCTGTGATGCGATTTTTGGGTGGGTAGACATTCATTACTCTTGTGAGGACACTCCTTACATGCGTACTTTGTTGTAGCTTTTAGAATAGTCTGAAGAACTACTGCATAATGATGATAGAAACGAAATGTTGGTAAATTTACTCCTTTCCTTTTAAAAAAACATGAGATCAAGACACATTAAGATCACTTGAAAGTTTAGTCTGATATTAAACTATTATAGTTCTGTTGTGTTATATTTGACTACGATTTCGACTGTTTGGTAAGGTTAATATCTGCAACATCAAAAAGAGAAATACTGTATGTCTCCATCACACCATCATGTATCAACCTTGGATAAAGAAAGAATACTCAACACCATTAAGGGGAATTCATATGCATATAACTCACACAGGATCCACTGTGTTGTAATTTACTTAAATACTACAATGATGTCACAGTGATAACTATAGTGTCACTTATATCATTTTACAGCAGTTATACACTCAGTCTGTGACAGTGAAGATTCAATCATCCCAGCGTGTAGAAAGCTTAGGGCAGCTGAACCTGTTAAACCTATTAAAATCCAGCTAATAATCAAATAACCGAATGGAGGCGCATGTAGACTGTTTATAAAGCATTGAACATTTAGCACAGCATGGTCAGGCTGTAATTTAGTACAGTGAAAAAAAGAAAACGTTCACACCAGCAGATTATGAACTTTATACAGTGTCTGTATGTAATTATTGATATTTGACTGTCATTTATTTTTCCTCGATCCTAAAAACACCCCTTATAAGCTCTGGAAATTTTTAACTAACATTATAATCTTCATTTGTTTTTTTTTTCTGGGTCAATTTCAATCTGA